TCTGGGCCTTTAGTCCATGGAAACTAAGCATGAACAGCCAGGCCCAGGTTTGCAGTCGCATAGGGCTTATACATAACATTCCAAAGAAAGAGCCTAGCCCACAGCAGATTTGATATAAATGTTCTAGTTTTCCTTATTTTAGTTTGCCTTATTTTAGTTTTCGTTTGGCATTTAGACTAGAACGAAAATGAACACAAAGTTTTATGGCAACAGCTTTGCTTAAGAGTGAGGTGTTCCGAACCATTAAAAAAAATAAATTAAATTTTCAAATTGCTTCTCCCCTCTTTGAATGGTTCAGACTATCATCGTTCATATGCTAAATGTTTTGTTAAAATTTGTTAGTCAATAAAGCATTTATGGACCATTCAAATTTAATCATCTAAAAAAATAGTTAGAGAAATATATTATTTGCATGACGGCAACGACCATTTCTCAAATAATAATAATAATAGCAGTAGTAGCATTACCGCCCATATAAATGTTAAATCTCCTTACAAATAGTGGATATTTAAATGCATGAAAATACCTATAACTAAAAGAAAATCGATTCAAAGATCCATTGCGTAAATTTATTAGTAAATCCAAGATATCAGTCTGTCAATCAAATAAAACCTAGATAAAACTCAATCCAAGTATATAAAAACCATAAACTACTTCTTTCATGTTGCATCATCCGAGGGAGAGAGCACGTTGTTTAGCATGATAAACGTGGATTTGGATCCTCTCCACTACAAAAAAGTAGTGGAGAGACCACTATTTTTAATCTCAAGCGTTGATTATTTAGTAGGTGGTTATAATACAATCTAAATCTAACACTTACCATACCCCCATGTATTGCACTCATTCCTAAATTGCACTAAAAGAAAAAATCATAACCATCAACTAGATAATCAATGACTGTGATTATGTAGTGGTCCCTCCACTATTTTTTTTTGTAGTGGAGAGGATCCGAATCCGATAAACGTGCAGCATCAAATATCCATGATAAAATATAACAGCTCAAACTCATGACAAGGATTGATAAATAGTTGAATAATCCTTTTATCTTCGAGAACCAGAGTATGATACATGTATTGATACATCGTACAGTTGTATTGACAAAATGTACGCTTGTTTGATCTACAGTGGAAAACTTAGCTAGTGAGATCTTTCCCATCGATAAAAGAAAAATGTTGGATAAAAAAAATATATTCCTTGTTCACATGTAGGGCTGAGCATGGTTCGGTTCAAACCGAAAAAACCGACCGAACCGACCCGAACCGACCCGAAAAAAGCGGTTTTAAGAGTAAGACGGTTCGGGTCGGGTTGACAACTTTTCAAACCGACCCGACCCGAACCGACCGAATATATTCCCAAAACTTTCAAACCCGTTCGCGTTTACCCGACCCGTACCAAACCCTCAACCCTAACTTCATTTCCTCTCATTCCCAAATCCCAGCCGCTGCTACTCATTCCCAATTTCCCATTTTGCTCGGCCTCAATCCCTCTCTCTCGCTCTCTCTCTTCTTCCAAGACCCCTTACTCTCCCCTCCTCTTCCCGAAATGCCCCTCTCCCCCTCCCCCTCCCGCAAGCGTGGCGGCCCCTTCGGCGACGAGCGTTAGGAGTTCTCCTTCAACTCCATCAAGAAGTCCAAGTCCTCCGACGACTCAGAGGAGGACTCGAACTCGAACTCGACCTCGAACGCTAACGCCAGCGACGGGCCCCAGCCGACCCCCCACCGCCGTCCTCTCCATCTGCGCCGCCGCCCTCCTGTCCGACCCCCACCCCCACCTCCACCCGGCCCTCAACTTCAAGCTGTGGAGCCCCTCTAAGAAGCTCAATTCTTGCTTCGAGAGCATTTCAGTCTCCTCTTTTCCTCCGGCTCCTTCCTCTCAAGGTACGTAGTATTTGTTAGACCCTAGAGGGGGGGTGATTAGGGTCTTATGCTAATCTAATCCGATTAAATACCAATTAAAACTAATTAATAAGTTATCCTAGCAAGTATAAAATACAACAAGATATGTAAGCTAGGATAAGCAATATGAACAAATGAATATATCCTATCAATGAGATATTACAAGTATATGAGCAAGGATATATAAACTCAAGGGTAAACAATCTAAACTAGATAGTGGGCAATATAATCAAAAAGCAATATACAAAAGGCGATATAAGATACTCTACACCCACTAAGTGTTGGACCTAGCCGTGTCTCCCTCAAGTGCTCGGTTACAACCTCTCTCTAGGCACGTCAACCGACGCCACTCCTCTTGGATTCGACCCCGTCTCTCACCACACACTTCTCTCGGTGTACAAGTGTATTACAAGTGAATCCTCACAATTAAGCACAATATAAATCAATTGATTGTTCTCTAAACAAGGTGAGAACTCAATTAAGCACAACTCTTAGTCACAAACCCACAACCCCAAATTATACTATGAATGTAAATACAATAAGCTCAAAAGGTTGTGTGTGAACAAAGAGATATAAATCAAAACTAAACTCAATGTAGTTCTAGCTTAATAACAATGATAATCAAATATATAAAAAAGCTAGAAATAGAGTTTAGAAAACTTCTCAATATATCAAGAGTGGAGGGAGAAGAGTTGGATGCCCAAACACCAATAGATGATCTCCTCAAGCTCTTGTAGAATTGAATCACAAAAACAAACTCTCAATTTGCTTAAAAGCTTTTTAAACACACTTAAACCAAACTAAAACCCTTGTTAAAAACTTTCTTAAACATGATTAAAAACTCTCTTGGTTAGTTTGAGAGTTGAAGGCAATGGGGGTACTTATACCCTCTCTCAACTCAGCCAAAAACCTGAGCAAAAGACAAAACACAGCCCCAATGCAACGGTCAAAAAACTAGCCGTTGGAAGCTGAGAGAATACTCGTCGGTCGACCGGAAAATTCGTCGGTCGACCGAAAATTTTCATCGGTCGACCGGACCGGTCGACCGACAGGCTTTCTGTCGCCCAGTGAACTTTTGACCTCAGGTTCGGTCGACCGGTGCGGTCGACCGAAATCTGACATATTCAAAAACTGTTTTGCTGATTTTAAAACCCTGTTTAAAAATATCAAATAAATTCCAAAAAATGTAAAACTTTGGGGAATGATTGTAGACATGATAATAAACATGCTACAATGACTGGTTTTGAAAAAGGACTTCCCAAATGAAAAATATCATCATTTTGCAAAATAGTCCAAAACACGAAAATGTAAACATGTGAATTTTGATATTTTGGCTAAACCAACTTTTGAAACTTTACAAAATGATTTTATAGACTTAATAGAAGATGTAAACTATTGTTATGAAGTCTATAAACAATGAATGTAGTATTTTATCAAAATACACATATAATGCACTAAAACATGATTTCATTTAACTAACTAAAATTGATATTGATGAAATCATATATATGCATATGAGTATGAAACAAAAATATGTTTTCTAATTATATTCAATTGTTTCATAGTAAAACTTGAAAACTATCAAACCAAAACATATATGTATATATATAACTATATATATACAAAAACCAAAACGTGTATGTGTGTATATGATTGAGCTTAAAGTACTAACACACATAATATAAATTCCTAAACTAAATTACCCAAGCAATGATCTTGATCTTCAATAAGCTTGACTTGGTAATCTCGCGGATGAAGCTTGAACTTGGATCTTGAACTTTGAATAGCAAGGCTTCACCGACATTCCGCCAACCTCCTTTGGATATGATCGTTGAAGCTCTATTCCATCCATCCTCCAACTACGTTGTTTGTCTATAAAACATAGGAATGCACAAACACTAGACAAACAACATTAGTAATAAATTGTTTGTTAAACATCATCAAAACAAGAAGGCCAACAGTATTAATTTTTCTTTAATTTCCTCTGTTGTTGTCTTTGAATTGAACATGAAGTAGGTGGAATGGGCGCTTCTTGTTGGAGTATGTTAGTGCCCTTTGAGTTGGATTTTCCCCATTTAATCACTCAATTCAGCACTTCTGTGTATGTTGTCCCTTGGGTTAGTTGTTGATTCAAGTGTGCACGACGCTTAAGTATCTGAAAACAAATATATACAAATTATCTCTTGTGACAAGCAATATTTGTGCATTTGATTGTTCTACTTGATGAAAGTTAGAACCGAACCGAACCGCACCGAACCGATTTGCAACGGTTCGGTTCGGTTTTGAATTATAGATGGTTCGGTTCGGTTGTTCAAATTTTGGTAAAAACCGACCCGAACCGAACCGTGCTCACCCCTATTCACAGGGCCAAGAGCACCATCGTCAGAAAATTTTACATCTGCACCCCATAAATTATAAAAATTGCACACCAAAGCCTATGCTATCTAAGAATACTAAATAAATTAGCAAGAAATTAAATTATCACATTGGAAAGTAAACACTTACATAAATTTTCAACAAGTAAAGTGCACTGAGTACATTCCCATTACGTACGGAATTTTAAAATATTATAATTTTATTTCTAGGTAAACATACATTTGTTGTTTGCCCATTCAAGGAAAATTTTATGGATCCGCCACTGCCTAAGATTTTCAACAGTTTAAAGATGGACTCAAACTTGGCAATGGAATCCAAATATATTAGTACGGCCGTATGTGTTACATATGAGCCAGTCCCTTTTATGTATTTTTATTTCGTTTTAAAAAATGATTAAATCACATGGAAACAAATGCATTTTCCAAGTGATAGTAGCACGTTACTAATCATCAGTCAAATTGAAAGCTTAAAAATGTTTGCTTAACAGGATGAATAAAATTCTAAAAAACCAACCTTTGGAATATTATCCTTACCAAATATGGACGAGACATCGCACCGACGACGACGGCAAACGCTTGCTCACTCTTCCATGATTACTACCCCAACAACTCGGGTGGCATTTTAGTCATTAGAGAAAAAAGAAGCCCCAGTAAAATCTCATCATTCTCGCTTTTATTATATGGCACATGAAAGCAGTAAAGAAAATAAAATGTAGCGTTCAAGTACAATTAAACCATAGAGGTATTTTAGTCATTTTGGTCCCAGTACAGTAGAGAATTAGTTGGAGGGAGGAAGAAGAAAAGTGTGAGGTGCAAAGCTGTGATTTTTTAACCTCTTTCTCTCTCTGCTCTCTCTCTCTCTCTCTCTCTCTTCCCCTCTCTGTCTGGATCATCAATGCGCAGCCGTAAAGATTCTTCAATTTGTTTCTCAAGGTAAATCTCTCTCTTTGCTCGCTTTTATTGATTTCTATTAGAACTGGTAATTTAGATCTCTCGTTTGGGATTCTAATTGAGTCTTTAAGGAAAAGGAAATGTGGGTCTTTCTATTCTCTGTGATTTGGGATGTGGGGAGGTTAAAAGGACTGATTTTTAATTTTCTAGGGTTTTTTTTGCTAGTCTTTTCACCTCTTAAGCGAGGGCTTTATTCTCGATGAAATCTTAGAAATTGAAATATGGGGTTATTTGGCAGCCTGATTTGGGATCTGGGTTCTGGACTTCATGATTAAATTTGTAAATGATTAGAGTAAACGAGCAAAATTTGCTGATTATTATTTTTCCCCCTCCTCTTTTCTCTTGGGACATTATTACACGGAATCAGTGAGATCCAGCCCAAATATCATATCATGAAGATAGAAATAAGTGGTTTAGTACTCTTTTTTTGTTTTATTTTATTTTGGCGTACAAGTTAGTTGTTCTTAGCTCATCTTTAGTTAGTTGTAAGTATCGTTGCAGATCTTACATAGATTCACCTAAATATTAGATTTTCTTTGATGAACTGAAAATGTAGGTCCAAATTTCCAAATTTTGGGTATGGATCAAGGGCATTTTGCTACTACCTCGCTTGATCTTTAGCAAGAGGACACATAATTTATGTGTTAGTAGATGTTTTATGCACTTTATCCGGCTGTTGTATGAACCACTAACAGTTCCCAAATCTATGGTATGAAATGTGTGTAAGATTCTCTTTCTCTATTTCGGTAGTCAAATAGAAATATGTCTAAGAGTCCATGTTTTAGTAGTAAAGCAGCATGCAGGAGTATTGTGCTTCATGCTTATTTTTTATTAGGACAAAATGATCATTTCCTTTGAAAGTATTGATGAACTCTCAAGTTATCCCATAAAGTATCAATTTACCTATTTTGCCCTGCAAACTATGTTTATTGTTTCAATGTGGTCATTTTCTGAGTCTACAACCAAATATTTAACAAATTAGTAACATAACTGTTTTTTTATTTCTTCATGTAGTTTTATCAACTAATCTCTTTTTTTCAAACATTTTTTTTAAAGTACTTTCTCACAAGATCTTTTACCCTTTAACCCTTTTTATGAATTTAAAAAATAATTCTTTATATTGCAAAAATATAAGAAGTACAAAAAAACTATTATGTTATTAATTTGTTAAATATTTGATTGTACACACACAAATGACCCAGTGAAACCATAAACATAGTTTGATGGGCAAAATAGGTAAATTTTACTTTAGGGGGCAACTTGAGATTTCCCTAATACTTTAAGGAGGAAAGATCATTTTGTCCTTTTTATTATTATGTTCCTTTAATTTTTTTGTTACATTAATTATTATGTTATTATGGAGAACACAATAGCAAGGGAAAATAGTAGTCATAACTAGACTACAAATCTCATACTACTTCTGCACTTCTAGAAACAAAAGTGAGGGTGTCCTTAAATCTTAACTCATTAATTTTGGTAACAATTCTAGTGAAAGGACCCCACATCTTTTTCCTTGTAGTTTATAGTAGTTTGGGGTTGTAGCGTAGCTAGTGTCATCCAGGGGAAGATTTGATGTTTTCAAGAAAGTTTCAGTTTTGTAGGGCTTGACGTTATACTTTATATCTCTCACACCTTGTGGATCTATTTCAACTTAAAGTATCATACGAAACACCTTGCAAAAGGGGAATGATTATAGTTGTTATCACATTTCCTTCGTTCTTAGGAGGCTATTTTGCTACAGCATAAAGTTATGCCAACTAATCCTTGTGCATTCATACACAACTATCTCACACAGGCTATTATAGTTGTTTCAATTGGAGCTAAGCCCATCGCGGTTGAAATTTTTTCAGATCTGCTTGAGGATGTGAAAGGACTTTAGTACTCCATTCTGATCATTTTTGCCCATAAGTAGAACTCTTAGTATTTGGAATCTCAAAAGTATACACTAAGGAACCACAAACTAAGCTCAATGGGTTCAAGATTTCCATCTCATCAGCTCAGCAATGGCCTCTACGTCTCTGGGCGACCCGAGCAGGCAAAGGAGAAGCCTCCAACTATGACTTCTGTAGCAATGCCTTACACTGGGGGAGACATTAAAAAATCTGGAGAACTTGGAAAGATGTTTGAAGTGCATGCTGAGATTTCCAAGTCAAGGAAATCAGGACCGATCAATGCTCCTTCAAGAACTGGATCATTTGCAGGTTCCAATGCTCACTCAGGTCAAATGCCCAATCCCACTGCTCGGTCTACTTATTCTTCTGGTCCAGTTCCAGGTTCAGGTCCATCAATGGTCACTGGAGGTTCCAAAAGAACCAATTCTGGACCTCTAAATAGACAAGGGGAGTCTATTAAGAGGTCATCCGGTCCTCAATCTAGTGGGGTCATCCCAATGGTTCGTCAAAACTCAGGTCCCATTCCAATGATTCCAGCTACTGGCCTCATCACATCCGGCCCTATTTCTTCTGGTCCACTTAATTCTGCTGGTGCCCCTCGGAAAATTTCTGGTTCTTTGGATTCTACTGGGTCTATTAAACTACATAGCACATCGATTGCACATAACCAAGCTGTTACTAACTTAAGCCAGGAGGAGGAGTATTCATTCAAGAAGAGCTTTCCGAAGGCAATCCTGTGGTCTGTAATTCTTCTGTTTGTCATGGGGTTCATTGCTGGTGGGTTTATTCTTGGAGCTGTTCACAATGCAATCCTTCTCATAGTTGTTGTGGTTGTGTTTGGTGCTGTTGCTGCACTTTTCACATGGAATTCTTGTTGGGGTAGGAGAGGCATGGTTAGCTTCATTAGCCGGTATCCTGATGCTGAACTTAGAACTGCTAAAGATGGTCAATATGTTAAAGTATCTGGGGTATGTGTGCTTTCTAGTCCATGCTGTGGGATCTTGATTTTGATGGCTGAACTTTTCATTGATATATTCTAATCTTTATTATTTTATTTTTCTATGCCTGCTGAATGAGTGAGTGTTGTAGATTATATTTAGTTGTAGTGTTGTACTTCATGTTTTTCTATGCCACTGACTTTTGTGCAACATAGATTCTTTTTACATTCCATTATTTCATCATGTACCGTAGATATGTGATCTCAAACATATTTCAATTTTTGATATTGGCTACATTTTACATAACCATCATTTATGTCTTTTTCAAAGATAACATCTGAGAAATATTAAACTGATCTAGTGACCTCTTCAACTTTGATTTCCCATTGACTCTGACCTGCATTTGGCTTTTGATTGACACTATGGAAATGAGGACGGAAACTCTGGCAATATGTATTTTGTTGTTTAAAATAACCTTCCATTATTGGTTTCCTCAATAGATGACAATATTTAGTTTTTTTTTAGGGGGG